CCTGAACCAATCATGTCTGCCTGTTTCAGAGCACGAGACAGTAAGGCCCATAAGCCAAGACACGTCTCAGAAGGTTCAGCTGTGGTCTCGGATGCGATCTGAACTGCCGATAACATGAAGGTTCAAAAACTGCAGCAATTTATTGGGAACAAAAATGGGATTTAGTTTGATGTTTGATTGCACAATGCATGAGTCAGTGGGAAAAAAAAAAACATATGTAATGGACAGCTCTCATTCAGAATGATGAATCACATAAAGCCGATGCATACTGCACTGCAAATTATTCACTTGCAAAGCTCATGTTTGTATGAGGCAACAAAATCAGTAAAAATGTGAAGAAAGATTTATGAAATAAATTTGTATGGCGATAGTAAAAAATGCGGCTGCATCAGCTGCTTTGGTTGCAGATGTCATGAAAATTCGTCATTTAGTTTGTTTTTTAAATTTGGATGGTTCGTTGAAGTGCAATGATGCACTAAAGCAGGCAACAAACTCCTGCTTATAAACGGCTTTGCATCTAATGTTTCCAGTATGAGTTCCTGACATCTGTTATAAGTTCCTCAAGTAAAAATAATATGTTAAATCTTTCTTTAAAAGGTTCATTAGTATTAATAGTTAATACCAAGAAATGGAAAGTGAAGAAGAAACATGATATAAAAAAATAGATCCCAATTTTTCTTTATTCTTGTAAATTTAATGGATATTACCAAGATGGCTTGTCAGTGCAAAGCATTTAAAATTCTGTCATGATTTTTTGTGGTATTTATGGTAACGATGATAAAAGAAACAATGGAGAAAAAATATAAGATTTAACACAGTTTAGTTGTACTATGGGCTGCACAGTGGCGCAGTTGGTAGCACTGTTGCCTTGCAGCAAGAATAGGCACCAGCTCCCCCATGACCCACTATGGAATAAGTGGTAGAAAATGACTGACTAGTTGTACTATGTGTCTGTGTACAATCTAAAGAGCCTCTTGTCCTAAAGCTAACGTTTACCGTTCATCAAAGAGGTTCCTTCACTATACCGGTTACGTTTAGTACTCCAACTGTGCGGCTAATCAGTTCACAAGGATTGTGTTCAATCATATTTTGAAAGCAGTGTTTATTGATGCTCTTATGAAACCCACCGTGGGACAATAGTTTGAAATGGAAAAGTATCATTCCAGTCATACAGAGTTTGAGGAGTTTTCAAACATTATTAATTAGAGTTTATTTTTATTATTTCCAGTTCTTATCAGAATGTTGTTTGCCTGGTAGATTATGAGACCTCATGGCAGGGGATCTCCTCTTATTGAAACAGCTCAGTACCTCTTGCCAAAGTAAAATGTGTCTTTATCCTTAAATCATTATTATGAAACAGAGCGCTTATGGCTTTATAAGTTGTATTTGTGTTTGATACTCTTATTTTGTTGTAAAAAAAAAAAAGTAGGTTTTGAGTTGCCCTGTTGCGTTGACGTAGTCGGTTAATGAAGACCTGTTGTCGGGCTGGCTGTCAACACTATGCACCAAATATTTTGAAGAAGCCTCCATCTCTTCTAAGTTACTTTCCTGGCATCATTTTGTGTATGCGGCAGAAAAATAACACATTAACATGGTGACAGATGAGCAAAAAGATCATCTCAGAAATAGGCAAGCATAAAAATTGTAATATATGGTCTAGTCAAAGCTGGGCTGGATTATCCTACAGAGATTACAGTTTGTTTAGGTTAAAACATTTACTATGGAAACCACAGAAGTGTAGATTTATATTTTTCCACAAAATATTGCTTCATCTCTGTTAATCTATTTTATAATCCAGATATATGATAAACAGTATGGTATTGCTCCTCCCAAGAGGTAAAAAGCAACAAATGAGCAAGCAATCAAAATGTTACCTTGCCAGTGAATTTTTTTTTCTGTAAAGAAACCAAATATAAAAATCACTGTACAGATCTGTAAAAAAAAAACAACAACTTAAAACTCAACTTAAAATGTAGAACAGGATCCAATTGAAAAATAAGTAGTTAATCCTAATGATGGTAAAAAAAATTATTAATATAAAATATCGATTCTTCCACTTATGATAGTCTAAAATCTGTTGTTGTTTTATTTTAAACCATAGACTTAAGCAGGTTAGTTAGTTGGGCTATTTAATTCATCCATCCATTTTCTATATCCGCTTCTTCTATAGTGGGTCGTGGGGAAGCTGGTGCCTATCTCCAGCAGTCTATGGGCGAGAGGCTGGGGACACCCTGGACAGGTCGCCAGTCCATCGCAGGGCAACACGCATGGCAAGCCACCATACACACACCGATTAACACCTGCAATTTAGGGAGACCCATTAACCTAACAGTCATGTTTTCGGACTGTGGGAGGAAGCCGGAGTACCCGGAGAGAACCCACGCATGCACAGGGAAAACATGCAAACTCCATGCAGAAAGACCCCCTGTCTGTCTGTCTGAGTACCTAGCCTGTGGTCCGTTGCTTGACATATCGCTCGTGGCTTGCCAACTTTAGTTTTAAAACAGTGTTACCTTAATAAGAAGGATGGTTCGAAATCGTTTTGTTTCTACTCTGTGACTGTTTGTGTTTTTTGAGACTTATAATATTTCTAAACAGCCAAATCTGTCTTTGTTGTAAGGGAAAAGTTTATTGACTTTCTTTAAGGCAGATGACTGGCAGTGTGCAGTAACAGGTATGGGAGGGACAATGCTGCTTTACTCTGTGCTCCATAGAGACGCAGAAAACACTGATCATTCAGAAATCATTTTAAAAGAGAAATTTTTACAACTCTGAAAACCGCCTATGCCCTTATAGATGATAATATGAGCACCTTTTCAGAAATAATATTGATGTTTTCTTCTTTAAAAGTTGTACTGATCATTATTCCCAGTATATATATATTGTGTCACAGCTACTTTACAACATGTTCAGGATTTCACTATTTCCAATTTAAAAAAAAAAAAATGCTGCATTTAGACTTTAACAAGTTTAACTGGTGGATGTTACTCAGTCATGAAAGACAAACTGACTCAGAATTAAAATGGGTTTGTGGACATGCAAGACTCATTAGATTGATGTGTTTAAGAACTGAGAAATGATATCTTAACCTCATTTCTGTTCATGAATGATCTGTCTGGTAGTCATTGTTGGAGTGGTAGAGCAAGACAAATTTGATCGCTATTCTCTATATTATTGTTCATTGCACCAATTTGAAAACACAAAGTGAAATTAGCATATTTCCATCTTAGGCCCTGTCGAAAAAATGACTTTGTTAGATATTTGAAGCAATATTGCCACCTAAAAGCAGATGTGAAGTAAACACCTGTTGTAGACATGCCGCAATAAAGAAGGAAAACATCCAAACTGATATCTCTGATTCTTGCTTTCATTTTAGAGCTTAAGCAAGGGAGTTCATAAAAACTGTGTAGACTCTACGAAATACTGTCAATTAGTAATTCTGCACATTATAACACGCAATATGTAAAATAACTTCCCTTTTTTTGCTAAAATATTTCAATTCAGTAAAGTAAGAACATTTACTGTAACCTTTCCTAAAATAAAAAAAAGTCAATTCTTCACTTGCAGTTAGCAGGTCAATGATATAAATCACTTGCTATGTTTATTCAAGGTCACTCAGAAGATTCAAAGCCAAAGTGACGCTGAAGCAGTCTGACTTATGAGAAAAGAGAGTGGAAACAATGAGTTTGCTCAGTGCATCCTGCAAGTTGCTTGTCTGTATTGATGTGTGTGTCTGTGTGTTTCTTTGATGAAAGGAGGGGTAAAAATGAAAGGGTTAGATTGTGTGTATTGCCCTAAAGGACCACAGTACTATAAATTTGAGTGAACGGGCTAAATAAGAATAGAGGAAGAGAGCCACAACACATCTGGTTTGAAAAGGAGGAAGCAAGGATTAGCTTTCTCGGTAACGAAGTCCAAAATAAGACAACAGAGAAGAGGAAACATGTGGTTACTTAAGGGGGTCTGTGTTGCGATGTGTTCATGCGTACTCGTGCATGTGCAGGAATTGCATATGGCTGTGAGTTGGTCTGAGTGTTTGCGGTTCTGTCATATGCAGTGACTGATGCAGTGCATGCAAGACTGCAAACTACAAACGATGGCTCCGAATGCGGGGCGGGTGTGACGGCTCTGTTGGGGTCACAGGGCCAAGTCCCACGCAACAACAAATCAGGTGCAGCTATGGCAATATAGAACCCCAGTTTAAACCAGGATGTGCCGCTTGAAGACATAAGCCGGAGCTCATTCACCTGCCATAGGGTGCAAGAGTGTGTGATTGTGTGTGTTTACCTGTGCAGTGACATCAGGGAGCCTTGATTTGCCTAACTGTTGGCTGCAGGTCACAAAGCAGGATTGTGGAGTACCACCTATAAACCTGACGGCATGCAAATGCTTTGAGATGCATGCATGTGTGTTGGTGTTGATATGTGTGTTTATGTATAAAAGAGGGCGAGTTAGCGTTGGGTGGGGGGACCGGAATGTAAGTGGAAGTAAGAAGATGATAAGGGAGTACAAAAGGGATTCTGGAGAAGAATGAAGGGTGAGCAATTTCATGAAAATAATGTTTTAAAGTCAAATGTTTTTCACAAGTGCAATGCTCAGACATATTGCAAAAAGGTAAAACGCTAACAGCCACATCTAAGGCTCTACAGGCCTCAGTTTGCATGTTAAATTTTAACATTGGTTAGAAAGAGACAGAACAAGTGTAGCTTGCCTGCAAAACATAGTTTCTCAAAAAAGAATGTGGCAGAACAAGATTGCATCTTAATTAATCCAATGTCCATTGGATCAGTTAAGAAAGATGTTTGGCCATAATGCACAGCACTATGGTAAAAACACTGCATTTCAGTACAAAGATGTCATAGCAGCCTGTGGTTTTTGCACAACATTGTGACATTATTGATAGCCATGCCTGGTGTAAAAGTGAGGACTAAACAGATCTTTCTCCAGTGTCTGCTATCCGTGGATTGCTTTTATCAGCAGTGCAGGCTGCATGATATCTTGGAGGTGACTGTGGCTCAGTAGGTAGAGTAGTTGTCTTGCAATCAAAAGGTGGTGGGTTCGATTCCAGCGTTCTCCTGCCATACGTCGATGTGCCCCTGGTCAAGACACTTAACCTCAAGTTGCCTACCGATCTGCGTATCGGTGTATGAATGTGTGAGCGTTAGTGAGTGCAATTGGGTGAATGTGGCTCTAGTGTAAAGTGCTTTGAGTGGTCTGCATGAGTGGTAAAGCACTATATAAGTTCAGTCCATTTTATCTTGGCTCAGGCCGTCTTGGTTGACTGTTGTTAATTTACAAATCTGTAAATAGAGACAGACTTGTACAGTCTGAACAATGAAGTTAAACAAAATGTCACATTTTAGAAAACGTTTAAAGAAAAAAATAGAATTGATCCAAGGCCACGACCCTGTGGAATGCCATGCAACGAAAGTATACATTAAGACTGGTCTTTGATGAAGGTGGCTTAAACTTGGACCTTATCAGACATCTTTAGCCACCTCTTTGTCTGAATTTAGCAGAACTAGCAACATCCTGGGTAACATGACCAAACTAAACTTTGTCACATTGTTGCATTCTGTATTTTGCTTTTTTTGGCATTTAAGTGTAGTGAACAACAAGTAATTTATTATTATTTCAGATATACTGAGATTATATAGGGGAACAAAGTGTGGTTTATCCTGTCTAGAGTACATATCAATTAGTGATCTCCTACATCTTCCTTTAGATGTGTTTGATTAAACAGCACTCAGCAGGGTAGCAGCACCTGCCACATCCCTTAATGCCCAAGCAGCTGGAGAAGTTACCTAAGAAATCACTGGGACTTCTTGGTCAATAATGTCTATTCTCCAGCCCATGTTCAGTCTTCATGATAACCAGCTATTGGACCTACTGTATGTACCACAGCATCAGAATTATGTGTTTGCAGCAGACTCATCACTATGTCATCTGGACGTAAGGATGTTAGCTTCCAGCCCTCTGATATGTCGGATTCAGAGACGTTACCACACAGACAGTTAAAACCAAAAACACCTCAGTTACTTCTGTGTGGATGTGCATGCTTCAGGTGTATTGCAGCTGTAAAAAAATAAATCCACCCTGTTGTCCAAGTGATGAACATCAGCAGGGAAAGGCAATAGTGTATTTGTTTCAGTTTTAAGCAGTGCTCAGGTAACAGTTCTGCTGTCCAGGTGTCCTCATTACCTGCTTCCCTGTTTGGTTAGCTCGGTCAGATGGCTTCCGCTTCAGCAGATGCTCATACAGCTTCTCCTCCATGTCAAGCCATCTATTATCTTCCATACACCATCATGAATGTTTACCGTTATAAATGAAATCTCTTTACACTTAATTATTTTACAAATAAAAATAAGTTCACAAATGTAATTTGTAAATGGAGTGCTTAGGAGGACACATCAGAGCTGCAGTACCACTTGAGATATGTACAGTTATGGGAAAGACAAAATTATAAAGCTTCAGTACAATTTTAATGAAAGATGTATGATACAGAATTCCTCCAAACATTATCCACTGGTTTGTGTGAGCGTTTTAAAGTTTTGAAAACAGCATTTAATGTGGGTTATGTATGCTTAAGAGCTTCCCATATTTTTTATTTTAGAATTTGCATCCACTCCTTGCATGTGAGGAGGTTCTACAGATTACCTGGCATTTTCTCACCTAATCCAAATGGAGGCATGCTTATTCTTCAGTAACATAAAGATCTGATTGCATTTGAGCTAGGGGTTGCAAGATTTGACTGGTGGTATCAGATGAAAAAGTATGAAAATAATAATATATTTGTAAACATGCACTATATTGCCAAAAGTATTCAATCACCTGCCTTGACTCGCATATGAACTTAAGTGACATCCCATTCTTAATCCATAGGGTTCAATATGATATCGGTCCACGTCCACCCATTACAGCTATAACAATTTCAACCGTTCGCTTCCACTTTTTTATAGTACTACTGACAGTTGATGGGGGAAGATTTAGGAGCAAAATTGCACAGGTGGTATCTTGTGACAGTGAGAGTGACCTATTCTTTCATAAATGTTCTTTCAACTAATGTAGCTGATTTTCTTACTAAATTACCAAATGTTCTCTGTTGACTGTGTTTCTTATTAATTTAGAAGATTTTGGACAGCAAACATTTTTTTTATATATATCCCTAAATACATTTTGGCAGTAAAGGGTAAAAGGTAAATTAAAGGTCTTATTCTGAAAGATTCTTGAAGCCACAATTTGCGAACAGTGAAACCTTAATTCTCAGGGTGAGTTGTTATTTATGTCTTAGTTGGTGTTGGGGGCTCAAAAGTAGGGACTTGCCCAGGGCACCATTCATGCAAGTACTGCCCCTGGTCATAGTCACAGGCCAAACACCAACCAAGCAAAGTAAAATATTCCTGTTGGTTTTGTGGTTTGTCAGGCTGTGAGAGATGGAGAACGGGACAATGGAGGACATGGATGTGCTGTGGGAGAAGGTGGAGTGCAAGCGGTACGAGCTGTGTCGCAACATCACTCCGGCGAAGCTCACCCCCTACCTCCGTCAGTGCAAAGTGCTGGACGAACAGGACGAGGATGAGATTCTTAACTCCCTGCTGCTCCAGGCGAAGGCAAACCGCACAAGTGAGTTAAAAGATGTGTGCTGATTTGTAAAGGCAACTCTTATTTTCTCACATATGTTGGACCATTTTAACTAGAGGTCAGTCGTAGGTTCTTTGAAAACTTTTTTATAATTGACTTGGTTTTTCAACTTTAAACGCATCACAATTACAAATATTTTATAAAGTACTGAAAATACAAAAAAGCAAAAAAAACAAAAACCCCAAAAAAGCTCTGTGATAAAAGTTAAAATTAAATGACACAAATGCAGACAGGGGTTCTATATCTTTTCCTTCTCATCCTTGATGACCAATGTTTTGCTATGTATCGGCATTTTACAGAAAATATTGACATTATCCTTATCTTGGGAGAAAGGTGCAGGTTACACTATCCAACCATAGACAATACCAATGGGGCACCACCCAAGTTATCCTCAGGTCTGCCTACCCATAAAAGAGTACTTTTAATCTAACCGTTTAGCACTGCACTAGGGGCCCCATATTGTGCATAATATTCCTTTTTATCAACCGTTTCTTTATATTTATCTACATTCATCATCTCTTCCACCATCCCTGAAAGGGAACAACGTTCTTTGCTTTCCAATGTCAGCTCAATTATGCAACCTGAAATAAGAGAGAGTCTGCACCATAAAGCTTGATGAACTGTCACATTCAACTCTTTGGGTATTATGCCTAATATACAAAGTGAGAGGTTCGGCAATATATATCAATGCCCAGCACCCTACCCAGAAAAGCAGTAATCTTTTCCCACAGGCTGACAGCCATTTCGCACTCATAAAGCATATGTAAGAATGTGCCTCTATTCTTCCTGCATCTCCAGCAAAAGTCTGAAGCCAGCATATCCAGTCTCGCCATTTTACAGGGCGTCCAGTACCCTTTGTGGATAATCTTAAATGTGATCTTCATCCCGTGCTTTTTAAATCCCTTAAGATTAGGTGGGCTTGAGGCAAAGATGTAAAATTTATAAGATCCTCCTTTAACTGGTCTCTTACCCCAAAATATCTCCTGTACCGAAGTCTGGGATGCTACAGGGACATTCCTAATGTATGATCTGAAAGGGCCTTTTCTAATTAAAATAATTAAAGCCTACTCATTGTGAAAGCATCACAAAATACTAGAATATGAATAAGGAAAACCAAAACTGTGATTTAGAGATTCAGTTATGGGGCCAGATTAATAGGCACACATTTCTTCCTGCCTCAAAATGAATGCAGTTTCAAGAATAAAGCTATTCATATTTTATCTCTTAAAATTTCCTTCAAACCAATGAATATTTGAGGCTCTAAAATATATTATTTTGTTTTGCTATTTTAAATTAAATATGAATTATTTATTTTATTTTCAGGGTCTTCTAGAGCCCTCAAAAAAGCCACCAAGGCCCCGTCAGGTCTGCCTTATGACGATAGATAAAAAAATGGCCAAAAAACACTAATTATGCCCTAATTGTTCTCGTCCATCTCTAATTGTAACAAAGGAGTTTTAGCAGTTGCTTAATGGTTCTCCTACAAATTTAGATAGAACAACATCTTGTTTATATATAATTAACAGAGAGCAGGAGCATTGTGTTTGCATTTGGTAAACTTGAAAAAAAACGCTTTCTTTGAACTTCTTTCAGGTCGCCTACTTGACATCCTTCGCACTAAAGGAGAGCGAGGGTATGTGGCCTTTTTGGAGAGTCTGGAGTTTTATTACCCTGAACTTTACAAGTCGGTCACAGGCAAAGATCCCACAAGACGCTTCTCCACCATCGTAGGTGAGATACAAACACACTGAGATGCAGAGACACCTACAGTAAATTGCAAACGTATTGATTCCTCCTGAACTTTTTCACATTTTGTCACATCACAACTTTAAATATAATGCGTTTCATTGGTATTTTATGTCATTTTGTGTTTATTTGTGAAATGGAAGGAAGACGATACATGTGTTTGAATCTTTCTTTTTACAAATAAAAATCTGAAAAACGCATTATGATTCAGTGCCCTTTACTCTGATTTCCTGCAAACACTGTCTGGCAGGAAACTCACTGAATGCCACCCTAAACACACCATTATCACAGTGACATACAGTTTGATGGGGACAGCATTATGCTGTTGGGGTGGTTTTCTTCATCAGGGAACCTGGTCACAGTTGATGGGAAAATGGATGGAGCTAAATGTGAGAAGATCCTGGTTGATAGGGTCTTCAGATGATGTGGAACTTCATTTTAGGGTTCATCTTCCAGCAAGAGAAAGACCCAAAACATACACTTAGACCTATGATGGAGAGCTCATTCATGTGTTAGCATGGCCCAGTCAAAGTCCATACCTTAATCCAAATAAGTGTGTCAAGACTTGAAAATCTGTGTTAAGAAAACAAAGATTCATTTTATTATTCTTGCAAATGTGCTTCAAAATCTGATCAGTAAATATAGAGTTATTATTATTGTTTTCTTTTATTTTATTTCTGTCTTAGAGCT